GCCTCGCTTCGGCGAGTCGTTTCCCTTATCTTGTTTCAACTCCTTTGTCCCCGGCATGTCTTCCGCGGCCCTCGCATACTTCTCAATTCTGGCCATCAGTTTTTCCATACTTTTTGGCAATGTCTTTGCCAATGATTTTCGAAGCAAACAATCATCTTTCAGGCCATTCTTAAAAGACACGACCGCCACCTCTTAATTGCATCCCGGTATCTGGTTGAATACCTTGTAGTTCCTCTTGACATAGGCCCTAAGGCTTTCATCCTCGCTGATTCTCAAAGCCATTAGGGAGTCCACCCTTAATGGCTGTAACTTGTTTGTCACAAACCTGGCCACGAACATCTCGGCCAAGCCTTCCCAGGTTTTCACAGTTCCTTTCGACAACTTGTGAAACCAGTTCAATGCAATTTTCCCAAAGGACGAGGGGAACACCTTGCAAAGCAACGGCTCGTTCTCGGTGTATAGTGCCATCGAGTTCAGGTATAGGTCGACATGAAAGTTGGGGTTCGACTTACCGTCGTATATTTGAACCTCGGCATACTGAACTTTTTCGGGGCCTCGAATTTGTCCAACTCTACCGAGAACGGCATTCTCGGCTTAACCGGGGAGATTACCTTGGCATTTTGTTACTTCCTCTGGAGGTAATCCCTCAGATCCTCCTTGGTCCGTCCTAGGGCTCAGCTATCTCCAGATTTCAGCCTTTTTGGCGCGCTGCTTCTAGTGTCATTGTGAGTCCTCTTGGACCTCTCTCTGTTAGTTGCATCGAAACAGAGTTCCTTTCCTTGAATATGCCGATGTTCTTTGGGGTCAACTTGTTTGGTACGATACGTCCTCCGTGAATCTCCCTTTATTGACTCTCCTCGCCCGACCTCCCTTGAAGGCCGGTGAGAGTGTTCCTTGGTCCTGGTGTGCTGGGGGGCTACAGGGACTATTTTCGGCCCTCCTTTCTGGGCATTGTTCTTGGCCGCTGGAATCGGCGTGTCTTGCAACGGGAACGGTGGCTGCATGACGTTGTTCTGCATCATGAAATTGACAACCGTTTGTAGGTCTGCCAATTTGTTTGTCATTCCCTTTATCTCATCGTCCCTACACAGGCATCTATCTTTCCATACCTGGAGGTTGTCCTCGTTATAATACCCGCTTCGGTCTGATTTCTTTGATGCGTCGACTTCCTTGCCGACGTCTTTTTCTCTGGGATTCTTATCCCGAGTTTCTTCGTTGCAATTGTCTTCCTCAACGTCAAGGTCAACATGTTTACCACTCTCAGCGGGGAAGTCGTCCCCAACCTTCTCTTTCTGTCCGTCATTGGCCATCTATTCTCATTTTTTTTCCACAGACGGCGCCAAATTGTGTGTGTCAATTTCCGACCACACTGCCAAACTAGTACTCAGCTGGAGAATACTGGCAGAATAGATTAAGCCCGAACGACCTGTCAAAAAGAAAAAATTCCGGCAGTGGTTTGTCCACCTAGGGGCACTTCGACGATCAAGTCAGTTATCTCTCAAAGATAGCAAAAGTGCTTAACTTACTATTCAGAATACAAAAAGCGTACCTTAGACCCACGAGAGTGCCTCTCTTTTATAGCCAACATTGACCTAATCCCAATAGAAGCCTAGCTTCAATGGACTTTGGATCAATGCTAAACCTGGACTCCCAGTTAAATTAGGATAAACTCCCTAAGAGTCTTATCTAATCCAAACTGAAGTCCTCTCTCATTCTAGAACTCTTGTCCCTTATCCGCTTATCCCGGATTCTGGTATATTTGCAGATAATCTCGGCCTAGCCAAGATTATCTCGGTGTCATGACCAGGACACGTGGCACCTCGGCTGGCACTTCGGTACTACCTCGGTCACGTGTTGTCATTCAAAAATTATGTCCCCACAACTAAAATACCCCTTTTGAGAAATAAGGGCAAATTACCTACATTCTCTTGTGGTTTAGCTAAATTACAAATTTCCCCCCGAGGTTTAGCTAAATTATCATTTTTAAATAAGTTATAAAATGCAAAATTAAAATGGAAAAACACTTATCACACTACAAAAAATTAAGATTTTAAAGACCAAAATTTAGGAACAAAATTATTTTTAGGGACCAAATATTTTTATTGCAAAAAGTGTCGTTATTATATTTTTAGTAACAAAAATTGAACATTAGTGATTAATTATTATATTTTTGGTATCAAATTTTTTTGTCTCAAAAAATAAACTATTTTGAGACCAAATTATTTTGTCTCTAAAGTCTATTTATTATTGATATTTTTGAAATTTTATCTCTAAAAGCCTTATTTTTTACTTTTCAGAAAGATCTTTTACGACTATCCTCATGACGATAGAAATTAGTCCCTAAATGTCTTTAGCAACAAAATTTTTATTCTAGATATCAAAAAAATTAGTCTTTAAAATTCTTATATGTTGCAGTGTCAGATGGTAAAAATATCATAAAATTAACAAATAATTAAATAAGTTAAAAACACAATAAATGGCTTGTCAAAAAATTCTTAAAATATGTTAGGTTAGATTTTTAGAAATTTATAAATTTTTTTTAAAAAATTAAAATTAATTTGGTTAAGAAATAAGAAATAAAAAATAATTATTATTTTTATATAATTTTATCTTTTGAGTGGTTATAAATAATTTTTACAAATTAAATATATTTATTTATATTTATTTTTATTAAATTAGTTTTTTTTTTGTAAATTCTGAATTTTTTTTCTAAACAACAAATCAAAAATGGTTCCAAATTTTTTTTTTCCCCATCTAACATAGTTCTTTTGTAATTTTTGTTGATTTATTAAAGGAATTTCAACAGGAACAATATCATCTATCAATTTATATTTTGGTAATGTCAGCTAACTATTCTTAACGTTTAGTTAACGGTAGGGGTTAAATTATTATGCGAATATAAATTCTGGAGGGTGAGATGTAATTTTTAAAATCTCAAGAAAAAATCTGTAATTTAATTAAATCTTAAAGGAGATGTAAGTAATTTACCCATTTAAAAAACATAAAATACTCTTACTTGATAAGAATAGATAGTTGGATCAGCTGCTTAAGGGTTGGTTTGGCAAGGGCTTATTGGGCTTTTTTGGCTCGATGAGCCATAAACGACAGAATAGGCTCATGAGCCACAACAGACAAAACATCACATCCAACCCCATAATCATTACACTCTTTTCTCATAAAAAAATAAAAAAAAGCCAAAAAGTCAAAAGGCCTTCCCAAACTAAAAGTTTTTGAGCCCAGGCTCATATAGTCAAAAAAGTCAAAAAATCAAAAAGCCAATCCACTTGCCAAACGGAGAAAGATACTTTTAGCTAATTTTCAGTTTTGCATGTCAAGTGTGAACAACTACTAATTGCATAGAAAGAAATTAAATGATACAAACACAAAGAATAGAATAAAGGAAGCTCAACGAACCCTCATTTGTTATGAATTTTTTTTGTTTTTCATTTTATTTTTTCAAAAGTTAAAAACAAAAATTTATTTGATATATTATTTACATTATCATAAAATTAAAATGAATTATAAAATTTTAAAATTTTTTGAAATAATTTTTTTTTTATTTGTTTCAAAACAAATTATGACTCTCCTCCCTCTATTCCCGCCACCTCCTCCGACGATTTTGATCTTTAGCGACACTCTTATCAGAATCACCAAACACTTTATTTATTTTTTGTTTATTTATTTTTTGTTTATTTATTTTTATTGATTTTAAATAAGAATGTATGCACATTGAATAATTTTATTCTTAGGATAAATTATAAATATATTTCTTGAAATTTACTTAAAATACAAATTATCTCATATGATTCTATAAATTACATCACGTCTCTTAAAGCTAATAATTTTATTAATAATATATAGAAGGGTAGTTACGAATTTTATTCTTTTAGTTAATTATGTTAAATAAAAAATTCTAAAAAGGGGTAGTTATAATTTTTTAAATCACAGTTTTAAACAAGCTTCAAGGGTGTATTTGTAATTTATCCTTATTTTTATTAGGGTCTAAGTGGTGTCTCAAATAAATAATTATTGGTCTAAATCGTGGGATTCATCACTTGTATTAGAAATTTAGGAGACAAAATATTATGTGTCAATATATAAATAGGATAAAATATTACTCCAGAAATATTAAATAATTTCTTCAGGACAAGGGACCCATTTAATTTTAGAGTTAATTATCAATAGGTCTTAAAAGTTGGATTTAATTCTCATTAATAAGTTGTTTGGAATGTTCTAAATAAATGCACTTTTGAATTTTTATAAAATATGGATTGGATTTGAAGTGATGTGATAGAAAGGTGATGTGATTTAAATAAGATAATATGACTTAGGCCTTGTTTTTCGTAACTTGAAAATGTCAAAAAGTCAAAAAGTCACTATCCTATTTAAGTCACATCACATTTTGTACCACATCACTTCAAACTCAACTCATACCCAATCCATATTTCATAAAAAATCAAAAAATACACTTATTTAGATAATTACAAATCACCTTTTAAATAAGATAGTGACTTTTTAGCTTTTTAACTTTTTTAGGAGATGACAAACAAGGTCTAAGTCTTATTGAAAATAAATTATAGTAAAATCATCGTTAAAAAAAAAAAAATTTTGACGATTTTTTATATATGTCGTTAAAAATTAACAATTAATAATTTTTTGTCATGATCTTTATAAATTATTGTTAAAAATTATAATTATTGACCTTTTTTTTCAAACGAATTTTTTAAGCTATCACTAAAAGTTAAAAAATTAATATTTTTTTTGTAGCAATTTTTTAAACTATCACTAAAACTTGTAATTAGTGACAATTTTTTATAATTAAATATTTAAATTATCATTAAAAATTAACAATTAATATCATTACTTTTAACAATATTTGATAAAAAAATTTCCATTAATTCTCATGAGACCATTGGGATAAGTCCACCTAAATCCCCCTTAATTTTGTCAAACGAGATGCACAGGTGTCTGTGCCAATCGTTAAAGGCCGTTCGCTCGTGCCAGACAGCGACGCGGGGCTCTCAGAAGTTATCACTGTATCTATAGATATCAGATACATACATATAGATATATATATATATATAGAGAGAGAGAGAGAGAGAAGAATTTTAGAGAGAGAAAGTGTCTTGAACAAAACTCTCTCCCTCTTGTTTGTCCCCCATTTTCCCGTCACACATCCCATTTTCGCTTTCGCCGGCCAATCTCTGCAATTGGAAGCGCTATTATTGTTTCAAAATTCTCTGTATCGTTCTGTTTCATTTCTCAAAATCTTATCCCAACAGGTACAGAGAGGTTTTGTATTTATTTGTTTATGATGTGAAAATGTTTCTATATATTGCAATTTTGTTTTGCTTTTGTTCGTTTGATGACAGAAATGTATGCTTATCAATCCCATTTTATGTTTCTTATTGCAATTTTGATGTAACCTCTTGTTGTTAAAGTTTGGGCGAACGTTGTTTTATTGTGAAATGGAGTGAGTGTAGGGTTAGGGTTAGGGTTGTATTATTGTCATTTCATGTTTGATTAGCTTAAAGACTCTGAATTTAAACACTTTGGTTGGTTGCTATGAAAATTAATGAAAGTGTTGGCAAAAAGAAAAGAAAAAGTAAAGACATTATAGATTTTAATGTTTTTGTTGTTTTTGGGTTTCAGGCTACTTCAATGTTTCAGATTTCCTTGCTTTTTGTCAGCCAATCAGTCTACTGGGCATTAATTGCACTTTAAATTTGATTCTTGTAGTATTTGAATCTTGTCATCATCAACCGATATTGCTTTGATTTGGAAGGATATTGCTTTGATTTGGAAGTGGGGAAAACGGTAAGAATATGAAATTTTGAATCTAATGTTTTATGCTTATGTGGTTTTTAGGAACTGGTAAATTTACCTTGTCTAGGCAAGTAGTTTCTGTTGGTCTCAGTTGAGTGTATGACATTTGTGAAAGACATGTGAAATGTACAATTGCAATCTTTCTGTAATGTGTATGGACTTAATTGTTGAGGTTGTTGGGTTGTTCTTGTCATCAATTTTGTTTGTTCTTTTGCTCATTATACTTTACCACATATATTAAAATTTTGCTGAACTTTTTTTGACAAATTAAGCTATCACATGTACAAAAGAATGACAAGATAGGAGGATGGAATTTGTATGTATGCGAAGATTAGGAAAGATGGAATTTGTATGTGTGCTAAGATTAAGAATTAGAAATGAATATATTTGTGAAATAATTGGAGAAGAGTACAATGAAGACCTATAGATGCAACAACGAAGAAAAGTGATATGATCACGAGAGTGTTGCTAATAGCCCCTACCTTTCTTCTTTGGGCCCTTGTGTCCATTTTGTTTTACAATTGAACTCTAATACAAAATTTTGATTTTGTCCTCATCTCCAACCTCCCAAATCCTACCATGAACCTTACCCCCATCTCCATCCCACCACCATCAGCAGCTTCGGCCACCAGCCCCAAGTTCTATCTGTCCACCTCCGCCACTCTCCATCCCCTTTCAGCCACCCTCACGCCTCCCCGACCCCTTTTTACCACCCTCAACCCCTCGGTCCAAAAACATGGTTATTAGAATCCCAATCCGGATCTTACGATCCTACGATCTTATGATCCATTTGAGTACAATCGATCCGGATCGTGTAAAAATCTCCTTATAGGTAGGATCTTTCAATCCTGGTAGTGGGATCTTATAAGATCGTGGAATCCCGATCCGAATCCGATTCTATCCGATCCAATTTACAAGCCTTGTTTTGTATTGTATGACATATTTTATTGTAGATTTTATATTTGTTGTCTAAATACCAATTTATGTGGTCAAAATAAATAATAAAAATTAAGTAGTATTGAATCAAATAGACTACGAACAACAAACTAGGAAACAAACATTCAAATATTGCAGTAATTTAAGAAAATTAAATAGTCGGAAAAACAAACTTAGCTTTAGCGGAGTCTAAGGAGGGTAAGATGATTGAAACTTTATCCCAATTTTTTGAGAAATTATTTTTGTGGCTCAAATCCGCTCCACCAGGGATGCTAACGACAAACCTTATCATTCGACTAAGCTACTCTTTTGAGTTCTTAATCTATTTTCATATCCAACTTTGTTAAATATTTTTTCTTCACTTTTTATGCATTATTGTAGATTGTAAAGTATTTTGTTATAGAATTCTTCTTCTTCACCTTATTTTTTGATGAAATACAAGACTTTTACCATTGAGTTTTCTATTGCATAATATTATATGTACATTTTATATAGAGTATTCTATTTTTCACAATATCTTCACTTCTTTTTAATAGAATATAGGCTCATTTTGTGTATACTTTATAAGAAATATTTATTTAAATTAAATTATTATGTAATTTGTCTTTTTCGGTAGGATCTTACGATCCTCAATCCGATTCTACGATCCGATCCTATAAACACCTCCAACGATCCAACGTAGGATCCCGATTTTAACAACCTTGTCCAAAAAAGAGAGGTATGATTGGGATTATGATGGGCGTTTGAAGAAAAAATGTGAAGGTCAATTTTGGTGGTGAGGGGTCTGAAGAAATATGGTGGAGACAAATAGCATGGAAATATTAGGGGGTGGGGAAGATCTAAACTGATATGGAATTCATGAGTATAAAAATATATAAATTTATTTAATTTTATTGATCATATAGCCCTTGATAAAGCATAATAGCAAAAAAGGATTCATCTATTTGACGCCACTTGATTAGGACACAAGGTTTAGTTTGGTTTGGTTGAGTGTGAACAACATTCTTCCCATCATAGCATTTTGAAAATCAAGGCTTGCAAAACTGAAAAGGAATGAATTCTCATTGTTTTGATTCATACAATCCCACTATTGGAAAGAAATTAGTTGTACTCTATAATTGGATTTTGTGACTAAAGATAATAATTCAATTGATATCTTAGTATCTTATTAACTTAAATTTTTTAATTTATTTATTTATTTATTTTATATCTTAGTTTGAAGTTTGAGTAGTAACATTAATACTTCAATTTATTTTGTCATACACGGATATCACAATTATAGACACAAATAACTCGGGTGGCAAAAGATTTTGTAAGATAAGAAAGTTGTTATCACTTGCCCAAAAAGGAAAATGAGATAGGAAAATTGATATTATGCATGGACGCCATAATAGCAAATATCAACATTTTGACAAGGAAATGAGATTTTATCTATGAATGTATTTGTTTTGGGTGACTGAGAAATCTTTTGAATGAATTGGTTACCTAAATTTGCATTCAAAAGCTGTAATTCTGAATGCTCTTTCCAAATAAAGAACATCATATTGATGATATAAATGAATTGCCATCTATGAACGCTCTTTTTTTGAAATTTGGACATAACATCATGGTTTAGAATTATTTCATATGGTAATAGAAACTAACATATGCCTGAGAAAGACCTATGTTGCATTGTGTTGTGCTGCACCAATAACTTGATCCATGTGTCTTGTATGGTCAAAAACATGTTTTTGGGTGACAGCTAGCCTCCTGTCATACCTTTCCTTGCTTTGATATCAATAAGGAAATTTGAAGAGGGATTTGAGGGGAGGAGAGTTGGGTATAGTTTCTAGCAATAAAAACCATGGGAGAGCATTTATTTTTAAAATTTTAGTGTTGACCATTTTATGTACCAAGTCACCAGCCCATTAACTTATGGATTTTGTTATTTACTTTCATGATGATTTTGTCCGATTCATGGTAGAATCTGCTATCAACTTACCTTGTATATGTCATTTATGCTAAGGTTATACATGAACTTAAATACACATATACTTGGTGTATGCACCTTTGTATGTACTTGGTATGTAATTATTTTCTTAAAGTTTTAAGAGCGTGGTATGAAATCTTCAAATTATAGTTTATACATTAGGATTTTATGCTTAATTTTTGTTTGTTCATGTGATTATTTTTGTTAATGGCATTTGATCATTTTACTCTTGAGTTGGAGAATCTTTTTCTTCATACAATTAATTTTTAATGGGATATTTGCCTTTGACAATGTTGTGACCCTTCCTAGTGGCATTTCATTTATGCTTTATTTTATCAGTTGGATGATCCAATTTAAGGAAGATTTGAAAACAAATGCGGGTACTAATACCCTAATTTTATGTTGTTCCCATTGCATAATATTGGATTTTATCCAAGCCATGCATAGTCTTTGAATTGAAAGAAACTAGTATTCTCAATTCTCTATGACGTCTAGATGATAAAATATTTTTGGGAACAAGAAAATCTTTCTTTGTAGCCTATCAAGTTTCCCTCACATTGAATTGGAAATGTACCATTTTTGTGTAGCATTGAGGGGGTACACATGCAGCAAGTATTGTTGTCTGAGGAGAGGAAAGTTGTTATCATTTTGGTGTTGTAATACTTTGCATCTCTATTTACAGGATTATATAGGTGCCTTTTTGTGTCATTTCCAATGTTGGAGGCCGATAGGCAAGTAATTAAACCCGAGGTATGTTTCATGTGCTAGTTTATGGAGTTTTCCATTCATATTATTTTTATTAATGTACGTGCAGTTATAAGATTATTCTACGTCTTTCTTCTTTCTTTGTTACTTATTGTTCAGTTGTAAAGAATTTATGATTTGCAAGGCTTGATTTTCCTAATATAAAGGGAGGCCCTTTTCTCATGTTATGCTCTTCTCCTTGAGCTTACTAGTTAGCTTACTACCTATATCACCTTAGAGACTTTGTTGGTTTTGGTGTTGGTGGACGTTGCATGGTTTTTGTGGGAAGGAGACAATATAGCTATGCTAGAAAGGAGGGCCCATTTAGTGTTTTTTCGTGATATTATCTTAGTCCTTTTGGTACTTGTGTCTGAGTTGATTGGCATGTTCACCATCTAATCTTTATATCAATCAGTGTGATTGGTTTCAGTTTTTGAAAAATGATTTTTTTGTTTTTCGTGTTTTTTTTGTTTTTTTGTTTTTAGTGAATATTTTTAAAATTTTAAGCTTTTTTTTTTTGAACTTTTTTTAGATGCACCTTACTTAGATGTATCTAAAAAGTAAAATATTTGTGAAAAAATATTTTAAAAATTTAATAAATACAAAAAATATACTGAATTTTCAATTTTTTTTTTTGTATTTTTGGTATTTAATGAATTTTTTAAAGATTTTTTTTACAAAAATTATACTTTTTAAGTGTATTTATGTTAGGTGTGTCTAAAAATTAAAAAAAATGCTTAAAATATTAAAAAAAATCTGAAAAAACAAAAAAATATGGAAAACAAAAAATCTGAAAAATGTTTTCAAAAAATTGGAAACAAAAATATTGAATGGAATTATTGCTCAAATTGTGCAATTGGGTTCTACCCATCATCTTTTGTTTTGACTTTTGGAGGAATAGAGAAATAATAGAAAATTTTGACATCTCTACAGTGAAAACGAAAACCAAAATTAAGGGAAGTGATCCTGTCAACATGAAATCAAGTTGAAGGTAGGGATGGGGGATAGAGTTTGCTTTTGGTGGGATAGGTGGTGTGGTGACCTGCCTTTAGAGCTGAGGTTCCCTTTGATTGTTGGTATTGCAGATGATTGTGAGGTGACAGTAGGTGCTGTGAGATCTGGGCAAGGGCAATCGATTGTTTGGAATGTGCGCCTGCGCCGTGATGTCCAGGATTGGGAGCAAGATTAAATGGTGGAGCCTTTGGGGTTTTTATATGGGTTGCAAGTTAGGGAGGACGACAGGTTTCTTTGGTGTGGGATTGTCGTAGGTCTAAGGGGATGTTTTCTATGCCCTCATATTATGATGAGGTTGTTCATGAAGAGGTTGTTGTATCCCTAGAAGTGTGCTTGGGTGCCGAGTACGCCATCCAAGGTTGCTTTTGTTGTATGGACGGCGACTTTGGGGCGTATTTTGACTATTGACAACTTAATTCGTCGCGGACATATATTGGTCAATTGGTGTTGCTAGTGTTGTGGCAATGCGGAGTCGGTGGAGCATTTGCTCGTTCATTGTCCGGTTACTTCTCGGCTTTGGATGCTTGTTGTTGCGATTTTTGGGTTGTGGTTTGGGTGCAACCGGATTCAATAAAGGCAATTTTGCAAAGTTGGGTTGGGGGTCGGGTAAGGGGGAGGCGTCAGAAGGCTTGGATGCTTGCTTCCATTGTTTACTGTGGTTGATTTGGTTGGGCGTAATGGGCATGTTTTTCAAGGGGTGTCTCATTCAATTCCTTGGTTAGAAAGACGGCTTTTTACGGTATTAAATAGTTGGGTGACAAGTTCGGTTGATCCTGATGTTCTGGCTTCTGTAGATTTTGTGGAGGATTTGATTTGTTAGTTTTGTTGAGCCTTTGTGGCTTCTATTTTTGTGTTCTTTGCATCATCTTGATACTTTTTAATAGAGTTTGGTTATTTATTCGCCAAAAAAAAAAAAAACACAAACACAAAAGATATTGAATTAACTACTTGGTGGGGCAAGGAATTTGTATCAGAATTTTGGTTGTGGCTACACCTCGTTTAAGGTAGAAATTTTTTGTGGGAGTTGCCAATATATGAATCAACAACTTTCTCAAAGAAATATCGACAATATGAGAAGAAATGGAAAGACTCACCTTTCCTGTGCACCTATGTTACACGGACTGGGTAAGAGAATCAGATGTGGGCACATGGAGGACAAGTGTTAGATCTTCCTAAACCTTAATCTCAGCATATTGGAATATGCATCCAAAAGTAGGGTGTAGGTATGGTTACACATCTTAATATTTATATATATTACATATTGTATAATATTTTTTGAAAACATGTTGTAAATTATTTAAAATTGCACTTCATATTAAATGGAATTTAGAAAATTATGGAATATATGTCTCATTTGTTTTAGAAGCTAGAAATGTTTCTTTACTAGCAAATGTGACCGTCTTCTTCGTCAAACATCATATAAAAATTAGAGGATCCAAATATCTAAACTAGATATGGGTGTTAGTCACATCTCACACACTTACTTACCTTTGTCATATCAAGTGGATAAGTTTATACTGGGGAAGTAGAAGAGTCCGTGTAATACAACCTTCCACCAGCACTTTTTAAGACGTTGACCCCTTGTGGAAGGGCAGTCAGCAAGATCTGGGATTTGTAACGACTTGCCAATATATGAATCAAACCATACCGAGGCAAAGAATAGATAGACTCACCCTTCCTTCCACCAGCACCTACACTTTTCAAGACCTTGGCCGCTAGTGATCTGGGATTTGCACTTGATAAGATTAAATACAAGACCTGGGCAGTTGAGCTTCGATATCTATCCAACCTTTACATTAACAGGATGGAGTCTCAGATTTGAAGTTTTAAGTATACATGACTAGACTAGCAGGAATCCTTGGTGTAAATAAGCCACAAAATAGTGACATTTTTCAAATTGCTAAGGATGTCAGAAAAAAGGCAACCAGATTTTCTAAGACGTGTGTGACCATTTTAGCCATTGAGGGTGTCATGTGACAGTTTTATTGAGAAAGTTTTTTTTCTCCCCCAGTCATGTTGAGGGAATGGGGGTTGTATTGTAGCATGTACCCAAAGTCTTTTTGAAGGGAGACAAATTTTATAGATGCATGCAATCACCTGAACACACGCTTTGGGTGAGTTTGCCAATAGTCAAACGTGAGATGTCTGGTTCTTGCTCCGGGGAAAGCTGTGTGGATTATTGAGTGAAAATGTGAGGCTATCACACTACATAGTATCGTTAGGCAAGCTGATACCATTTTCTTACTTCCTTTTACTGTGCCTCTAAACCCTTAGTACTTCATTTACTTTATTTTGTAGTTTGGATCATATTTTATTGTGATTTTTATTGTATATTGATGGATTCTAATCTAATCCATGTTAGCTTTCTCTGGGTTCTCAGATGATGAAGTCCTATATATGGCTTGAAACTGCTGATGGTTCAATCCAACAAGTAGAACAAGAGGTTGCCATGTTTTGCCCAATGATATGTCATGAAATACACACAGGCATGGGATCTTCAAAGAATTACCCTATATCTCTTCCACCTCGAGTCAGTCCATCTACGTTGAGCTTAATTCTTGATTACTGCCGATTTCATCAAGTACCAGGTCGCTCTAACAAGGTTATCTGTGTTCTAGTATTGCAATTTGTTTTTCGTGGATTGATGATTCGCTGCTCTTTTCTATCTTCATTTACATTAGTAAACATTTAGGGAAGGTTATGTGTTAGCTCTAGTATTATTTGAACAAGATGTTAAATTTTCCAGTGACTAACTCCAAGTAGCGAAGCTGGATTTGATTTTTGACTGTTTGTTTGTGCAGGAACGGAAGTCTTTTGATGAGAAGTTTATTCGAATGGACACAAAAAGGCTTTGTGAGTTAACATCTGCAGCTGACAGCCTCCAATTGAAGCCCTTAGTTGATCTCACCAGCCGTGCTCTAGCACGTATGATTGAAGGGAAAACCCCCGAGGAGATACGTGACACATTTCATTTGCCTGATGACCTTACAGAGGTGTCTTGTGCTTGCAAGCATTGTATATGCTTAGCATGTCCTTTTAGTAGCCTTCGGGTAAAAATTGGGTTCTGTAGTTTCTGTATTATATTGACTTAGATTTAATTGATCCAGGAAGAGAAACTTGAGCCTTTAAAAAACATGACTGATGATCCACGAATTCGGCTTTTGAATAGACTCTATGCAAAAAAGAGGAAAGAACTAAAAGAAAGAGAGAGATTGAAGGTGACTATGCCATTTTATATCTCGTTTTCTTTTAATCTGTTGTATAATGATTTTTCTGTGCTTTTTAATTTGTCTTTGCTGTTACGTTGTTTGGTTCAAATACATTGCTTGGTAACGATCATGAATGCATGTTAATACTGATAACAGTTGGGCCTTCCATGTGTTTCAGAATGTTGAGGTCGAAGAGGAACGAGTGGATTATCGTTCAGTTGATGATCTGTTGTCATTTATTAATGGAGGAAATGGAGGTATCTTGGGTATTGTCTCTTTACTTGTCTGTGTACTTTTTCTTTGCTATTGTAGGAAGAGCTTTTACATTATATTTTAGTTTTGGGTTTATATTTTGCTTCTTGATCCGTACTATCTAGGTCAATTATTAGTAACTGTTAGCTAACAGATCTTTGAAGGGTCAGACCACCTTATGGACTGTATTTTGGATTATGTAGTCTTAGTTGGAGTTGAAACTTGAATCAGTAACATCTTTAACATTTGAATGTGAAATTGAAGAATACAAACATGAAAGATGCTGATTACAAGACATGTCTCCTTAGATCAAGATGTCAGATCCTTAAAAATAAATCTGATGGAAAGTTTTTCAATGCTGTTTCTGATAAAAACAAAACAATGGAATTTAATTACACTGCATCTATTAGCGGTCAAGTTAGACAGATGAGATGGGAATTACTGGACTGCACATTGGAATTGAAACCAATGTATGATCTAGTTTCGGGTGATTGAGGTGGAGTTGGACTATATTTGTGTAAATGTCAATTTTTTGCACCATGCATTGAAAGTGGAGGCGAGTTTTGGAAAATTAATTTTTAGTCAGAGTAATGTAAAAATAACCTCTGTTGTTATGAAAACTGATCATGAATCTTTTAATCAAAGCAGATTTAAATTAATTCTAAATTAAAGCAGATTTATGTAGAGAGCAATCATAGGAGAGGCACAAGTTTAAATGTGGAAAATCCAAACTCTAGAAAAACCATTGGCCTTGTTTGGTGTAGCTGTGAGAAAGTGATTATAGATTATAGCTTAACAGATTATAACTTATAACTGTTAACATAAGTTGTTAACCTGTTTGGTACAACTATGGGATTATGGATTTAAGTAGCTGAGTAGTATTTGATTGATAAGCTGTAAAATAACTTTTTGCTGTGTAATTATCCTTTTTGCCCTTATATGATATAAAAATGATTATTTTGTCTTTTTTTTCAGTTTTAATTTTAAAAAAGTTATTTCATTAATAAAAATTAATATAATTAGTATTACAAAAATTATTATTTTCATTAATAGTATCAATTAGTATAAAATTATTTCATTTTTTCATTATAAATTAATTAGTGTCAATTAATGGCTTAATTAGCATCAAGACTTTTCTTTTTCCTTTTCTTCATTTTTTTTTTCTTTTTCTCCTTATTTTCTTTTCTATTCTTTCTTTTTCTTCTTAGTATTAATGTTGTGATGTCATTACATTATTTTTCTTTATATATTAATTTCAATAAGTTATTTAATAGAAGTTAATAATATAACAATTGCTATAAATTGCACAATTAATAATATAACAATTGTTATTTTTTTAATTAATTATTATTTTTTTTCATTACAATTAATAATATAACAATTGTATTTCTTTTCATTAGTGGAAGTAAATTGTATTTTTTTTAATGGATAAAAATTGCACAATTTATTTCAATATTAATTGAAATATTTTTTTTAGTGATATTTCATTTTTAGTATTTCATTTTTTCATTTGACAAATCCTTTCATTTTTTTCAATTTATATCATTTTTAGTAAAATTATTTCATTTTTTCACTATAAATTATTACTAAAATAGCATCAATTAATACTAAAATTTATTTTATTAAGTAGCATCAATTAATACTAAAATTTATTTCATTTGGCTTAAGTAGCATCAACTAATACTAAAATTATTAATTAGTATCAATTAATATAAAATTTATTTTATTAATGGCTAAAATGCTTAATTATTGTTATTATTTTTTATTAAAAAAACAGTGAAAACCTCAACAAAAAAAAAAACACTAAAATCTATTGCTGGAGAGAGAGAGAACAGCAGCGACGAACCAACGCCGGAGAGAGAGTTGGTCGTTGATAGTCACTATCGAAGGCATAGCGGCGATGGGGGATGGGGGACGACAACGGACGGTCGATCGTCACCATCGATCGTCACATAGTCGATCGTGACTTTAGGGTTTCAGATCGCGATCGTCACTTTAGGGTTTCAGATCGCGATTGTCACACAGTCGATGGTTAGGGTTTCGATCGCGAAGTTAGGGATTACAACGCGATGGTGGTGGTGAAGAGAGACCGAAGAGAGCTCTGGTTCGTGAGTGTGAGAGCGAGGGAGAGCATTGGTTCGTGAGAGAGAGAGAGAGAGAGGGAGCATTGGTTTGTTGAGCATCGAAAATCGCTCGCCGAAAATCGCCACTCTCTCTCTCTCTCTCAAAGAATGAACAGTGATGCTTGTGGTTTATATAATAGCAATTTGGTAATACTTCAAATTAATAAAGGGCATTTAAGTAATTTTGCTCCTCAATTTTTAGCTTCCCGCTTAACTTGAACGAGTTAAGCACCCAGTAGGCTACTCCGCCAAAAATCATTTTTTTGACTTAACTATAAAAAGTGATTTTAAGCTCTACCAAACACACCAATTGTAGCTTAAATTAAGCTAAAAGCTGAAATAAACAGCTTTTAGGCTGCGCCAAACAGGCACATTGACACAATGAATCCACTTGTGCCATGATCCTACCTACTTAACACCCAAGTCTTCTCCACGTCTATTTAATCTTACATGTACTCCCAATCTTCACTAGCCACATCTCGAACACACCAACACGATTGGCTCCATTCCTCAATCAATGCACGTGCCACCAAGTATAATGCAATATGAGCTACCAAAAGATCCTAATCCAACACTCGCACTCGTACTCGCACTCATACTCGCACTCACACTCACTATAAACCTAATAAACCTCTCTGAAGGTTGTGAAAGAAGATGTATTGACTAAATGAAGCGCAAGGTAACCCTAACAAAGAAGTCAATGCTCCAATATATCGCAATAGAAAACCTAAGTGAATTGAACAAGAAAACAAGAACCACAAGGTGGGTGTTTGGGAAGTTACTATTTTAGTAGACTATTTTAGTTTTTGACTATTTTAGTAGGCTAAAATTTTTGTGTTTAGAAAGATGATTGGATTTTTTTTTTTGTAGTTGGATGTGATGTTTGTGAGAGAAAAAGTGACATGATTATATGTTTGATGTGACATTTTGTCTTATCAGCTATTTTAGCCTATTTTGTCTTTTTGTGGATTTTAATCAAAAAATAGCCCAAAACCCACTTGCCAAATAGGGCCAAGGATTTTGTTTGAAAAACACACGAGTGTATTCCAAAGGCATACGTTTGAACGGTACATCATTGTCTTCCAATAATGAACATACTGGGCAAGGACTATGTGAAAAATTAAATCAAAACACTAAGCACTGGGTTTGAACGAACTATCCTGGTATTCTAAGGAGCAATGCACTTGACAAACTCTGAAAATAATTTTTCTAAAGGACCGTGGTCAGTTGAACGTTGAACCTCACATTCGAACGCACAAGTTTTCTTCCTAAAAACATTTTTGAAACATGCCAATGCATTAAGTTCAAAAACCAAATCTATTGAGTCCTAAGGTTAAGCCCATTAATTAATTTAGCCTAGCATTCAAAACTAAATTATCTAAGGTCGTAAACTCAAAAAGAACAAGCCCAAATAGACTAACGTTGGTAATAATGCAATGCATAAGTTTTATCTGTACAAATTGTAGTGAAATAGACTAACTACACTACTAAGGCCTAGTTTGGGAAGACTAAATAAGTGCACTTTTTGACTTTTTTTGTATTATGTGTAGAAAAAGTAGAGAGGAGATGTTAATTGATGTGACCCAAAAAAGATAAAAAGATGAAATAAGTGCACTTTTTTGGGAGTAGCCAAAATAATTTTTCTAAAGGACCGTGGTCAGTTGAACGTTGAACCTCACATTCGAACGCACAAGTTTTCTTCCTAAAAACATTTTTGAAACATGCCAATGCATTAAGTTCAAAAACCAAATCTATTGAGTCCTAAGGTTAAGCCCATTAATTAATTTAGCCTAGCATTCAAAACTAAATTATCTAAGGTCATAAACTCAAAAAGAACAAGCCCAAATAGACTAACCTTGGTAATAATGCAATGCATAAGTTTTATCTGTACAAATTGTAGTGAAATAGACTAACTACACTACTAAATTTGCTCGAGACTCAAGTAAGCTAAAATAAAATATAGGCTCTAATCTTTTGGAAAGAAATTGCCAATATGAAGATGATTAAGGGACAACTAGACATTTTTCTACTCCAAAGGCTAAAGTGGGGAAAAGGAGGAAGAAGTTGCCCATATGCATTGCATTGTGTGGATCGTCTGTGGTGAGTGGAATCCCAGATCTTTTAATGGCACACAGTTCCATTGTATAGGCTTACGAGTACATTGCTTTTTATGTAGTTGGCAGTCCGGAGTTGTTAACCCCTCTCTGGAGCTCTTGAATTTTGTAGAGGTTTTTGATAATGAGGTGAGGTGTATATGTGTATATGGGTGCCATACGTTCTATGCTGGCTTGCAATGAAATTATTATTTATCCAAAAATACCCTAAGGGAAGAAATTGATAGATTATTCCCTCTTGGAAAGTCTTTGTTGATGTTAGTGCACGGGCAACTGTGTAGTTTTGGATATGCTTGTGCATGCCCTTTGACTTGAATTCATTTTATTGAATTAATATTAGTTCATAAAATTGCATAATGAATTCAAATTAACTTCTGAGTTTTTTGTCAACTTGTCATGCAGTAGTTCACAATTACCTTACCTTGACAACAATTGCTTGAATTGGATATGTTGATTGTGGTTAGGATCTTATTTGATGCAGGACAGCGCTGTAAGGGCTGTTCTGGGGCTGTGAAAGTGCTGAAACTTAAGTAAGAAAGGATGAGGAGAAAAAGATAGGTCTAGGAATCACTCTTAGAATCGTTTAGGCAATACACCTAGGGTTTGATTGCATCACACAATCCATAAGAAAGCTTTAAAGCTCTAAAAACTCTCCAAAATATTAAGTCTATTGAATTAATAGCATTACTTTTTTTTTTTTTTTTTTTTTGATCAGCAAAGAAAAATTTCATTAACAGCATGAAATTAAAGGGTATAGGAAGATGACATGCATCGAGA